ATTGAGTACTTTGTTCTGTACAGAGTTGAATGTGCTTCACAAAAGTTTGATTTACTTGGATTTAGCGTGCATTGTTTAAGTGTTCCCTTTATTTTTTTTGAGCAGTGTATAAAAATTTATACATCCTAAAAAGGTCAAATGTTTGTTACAGCTCAGAAAAAAATGGGGCAATTTATTTTTTTGGCAACACAAATAAAGTGATTCTGATATCAGAATTATCTCATGAAACATCAGGACTGATAGTTACGTCTGTGACAGTTTTTCAGGAGCTGTGTGTCTGTGCAGTTACTTCAGTTTTCATAAACACACTTCTTTTTACTGCTCAGCTGTTTAATGTTTTGTCTGCAACATTAGATCATCYTGCAGCACCTTGAACTTCTCCTGTCTGCCCTCTCCACCTTTTCATTGTGTTTCTTCTAACATGCGTGAAAAAAAAAGACCAATGAAGCACTGGCTGACGAAAAAAGTGGATTTCAAAATGATTTTGTTGCAAAGATTGGGTTTATTCGATAAATTCATGTGCCTTAGATTAAATCAGGTGTTTGTCGGAGGCATACAATGTACATTTTTGATGAGTTGTAAAAGTCGGTGGGTTCCAGCAGGAGGGAGATTTTTATCCCCAAACAGACTCCTACAGAAAAGTGACGGTGATGTACTGCAGCACAAATCAATAGCTGCCTGCTTCATGAACCACCATGAGACTGTGTTGTAATCTGACAGAATAAAGTCCAGAGTTCCAACAAGCTGAGTCCACCCATGTTTCCAGTAATAATACAGTTTTAGCACTGATTCATGGTTGATTCTGATTTTCTGCTGCTCAGACAGAAACTGTTCAGCTGAACTGACAAGAACTCCTCCTTTTGTCAGTGTTGGACTTCCTATTTCCAAAATAAAACTGATCAGTCAGCTTGTTTTTATGGATGATTCATTRCTTGGATAAAGGTTGTGACTTACTCTGATTTTTGGTAGTTTGTAAAACAAATATGCACCTTTTTTTAAATGTCTTTCCAAGGAATGAAGTATTCCTTAAACAACATTGATGATCTGGATCACTGACTTTCTATGAAGTCAAAATCGGAAGATTTAACTGACTTTTCCACATCAATGTTTTGGTTTAGATAAGAAAAACGTGCTTAGACATGCGGATCACAACAAAGTCTGCTTTGCAAGGACCACCGTCAGGACAGATAGAACCAAACTTTAGTAGAAAAACAGAKAATTTACCTGTTTAATCGTCTCTGACAGAAACCAGGTGCGCTGAAACTCTAGCTTCCTCCCAGGATCAGCTCTGTAAGCTCGGCCTCGGGTCACGGGCCCGCGGTGACCAATCGATTGTTCTGCTGCTCAGAGATTGTAATCTGGGCTTGGTGTGTGTGTGCGTGTGTGTGTGTGTGTGTGTGTGTGTGTGTGTGTGCGTGTGTGTGTGTGTGTGTGTGTGTGTGT